CATTTTATTTTGTTTTCAGTTTGAGTCCATAATAGAAATATGCCAGTATATTTCCTTTCTGTTTTCTCTTTCTGTTTTTCTGCAATCAGAAGTCAGCAGATGGGTCTTGGCACCTCTCACAGGCTGAAGGCAGCAGCAACGTTTTGGGATGTAGGGCTCCCAGGATTCAGTTTGCACCTGCCTAGGTCAAGTGCAGCCAGATCACCATTTGGAAACTCTTTGGTCTATCAAAGAAAACCTCCTCTCTCAACACCCTCCAGGTTCACGGGTTCCAAACTCCAACCAATCAGCTAGTGCACCTGGATGCCTTGCTGAACACCTCTAAAGGCCTAGCTTTTCTTTCTCCGGAATAAGTGGAAAAGATAAGTTCAGAGGTTCGGAAACAGGTTCAGGGAGGTTGGAGGAGCAGGATGTAGGAACATAGAATTGTGTTATACTGAGTCCATGGGTCCATCTAGCTCTGTATTGTCCACACAAACTAGAAATGACTCTCCAGGCTTCCAGGCAAGGAGGTGCCAGGGATTGAACCTTCTGCATGCAAAGCAGTTATTTACCCCTTGCTAATGCTCCCTGCCTCTCTGGCATCTTTTTTTTAAACCTCCTTTATACAGCTTATTTTGTTTTTTTTATTAATACTAAATATAAATTCTAATATTTAAACAATACATATTATTACATTACATAAGTTATACTGGTCAAAGTATGTGGTTTGTTTTCCTTCTGCAATCAATATAAGTAATTCAGTTAAGAATAAAATTATTAGAAGTCTGTCTCCTTTCTTGTACACATATGAAGTTAGTTGGCACTGACATTATAGCATACTCATGTAACTTGTTTTCCAATTCAGGCAGCTTCGGTATTATTGGAAGTTTCTTGCGTAATGTATCTATGCTGCTACAATTATATATGCTATCAATTCTCAGTATGCTAAAGTTTAATTCTTTGTAAGAGTTCATGAAAAAAGTCCAAAGGATCTGAACATAAAAGCAAGTTATATGTGTTATCTTTTCTATGTTGTTCTTAATAGTATTCCAATAATACTTTGCCATTTCATATATCCACCACATATGAAAAAGCTGCCACCCCCCTTTTCTAAACTTCCAACATGCTTGACTGTATAAGCCAAATATTTTATTCAATACACTTTGAAAGACAATCTTGGTCTGAACAGATAGTGGTTCAAGTTGCTTCATGTGGTTAGTGTTAAGAGAGGATATATTTAAATCTGCATCAAAGATCAGTCAAGAAATAAATGTAATTTAAAAATAATAATGTAGTATTTTGATTAATTTTAAATATGAAGTACGGTGCCAAGATCCTTCTTTTGAATACACCCTATGCACCTAGTATATCCAAGATTCAATGCTGGTTGTACACTCACATGAGATGAGGCAGGTGTTATTGGACTGCGCCAGTTAGGTCTATACATTAACAATCACATCATACACCCCTATCAAAGTCTCCTAGCATTCTAAAATCAATTCATTTTAAAATCAGTTCAAATCAAATTGATGGCAACCATTGGGCTAGAGTTCTGTGAAGAATTACCAAAGGTGGGGGTCAGGCTGTGCCTTGGCCAAAGGCCTGGTGGAACAGCTCTGTTTTGCAGGCCCTGTGGAAAGATGTCAAGTCCCGCAGGGCCCTAGTCTCTTGTGATAGAGCATTCCACAAGATCGGAGCCACAGCCAAAAAAGCCCTGGCTCTGGTTGAGGCCAGCCTATTAGAAAGCACTGGTGAAACAGCACTTAGCAACAATGGGGAACATGAATGTTGCTGTCAGTAAATGGGATGAACTTTTTTTTTTTTAAGAGATTGATTGTCAACATGCCAAAATGTTTGCACCCTATTTCAACTGAATACTATCCCCCCTTTCTGGCTACATATTTTAGGGAGTAGATATATGTGTTGGATGTTACGGATTGGTCAACACAAGCCCCTCCCCTCAAAAGACACCTCCCTCCCCCCAAAAAACTATATTACAATACTCAAACTCATGTTACACAAACATATATCATTATACCTGAGAATAGATTTGTATGTACAAATATGACACTCGGGGATCTTCCCTTTGAAACCTCCCATTTTCATGTTGTAATTGACAAGACAGTTTTCAGACTTGCTCACAGATCTGTGAAATCCATTTTCTTGTGTCTGCAGCTGTGAATATCAAGAACTATTTTATTCATTCATTCTAAAATTTATAGCCCACCCCACCTTTCCTATGTAATGCATACTCCATTGCATTGATCTGGGGCAGGGGGAGAGGAGAAGAAATGGCTCCATGTATGTGTGTTATCCATTTCGCTCACTGAAGTAGCATTGAGTGAATTCTCGGCCTCAGTAGAGAACTGCACTTAATCCTTGCTGTTAGGAGATTATGTGGAGGAGGCTACATTGAGAATCTCTATACGGATCCTCAGATTGAGAAAATACTTTCAGCTGATCTCAAGCTGTTCAACTATTTGGTCACACAGCAAAGTGTTCAGATAATTCTACGAACATAAAGGGTCGTGGGAACTATCCTCATTAAGAGACATTGGTTGAGGTACTTGAGTATAGTAGTACCCTAATGTTAATTCAGTAACACAATCTCTAGCACATTTTATTCCCCATGATGTGTGGCAACTATTTCATGTTTCATAAGATATACTTCAGTTAAACATTCCCCCCCGCCGCCGCTGTGTGTGTTATTAAAACAGGCAAGCCAAAGTGGCATCATCTGGCTTTAAGAATATCCTCCCCCACTTCAAATGATAATCCCTTTTTAAATCATCTTTTTTAAAGGCAAATGTATTTAGGTTCCCTAAGCTCATCCTTTTTTTTTTTTTTTTTTTAGCCCATGAATCAGCTTCCCTAGTTTCTCTAATACTTTTTCAAGTGAAATATTAATATCGTTTTAGAAGGTGGTGACACGTTATTCTATCTGGGGTTTGCCAGTGAATTAGATAATCTCATCTTGACTGCAATGGGCATGCAGTTCCTTTCTTGGGAGCTCAAAATATTGATCCTAAACAATAGGGATGTCCCTTTTTTAATGAAGCATTCGCCATTATCCCAAGGTCCTTTTTGAATTCCCTCCAGATCAATCATGTTCATTGGATTTGGCACACCAAACTATGTACAACATTTTACATGTGTCAATGTTAATTTTTGGCATCATGCATCAGCAAAGTTATACAGCAGAGTCAGTGGTTAGTTTTTCATTGTTTGTTTCTTTTGTTTTCTGCATGTTTGCTATCTTCACTAATTGTGTGGTGTCAGCAAATTTACCTGGTTTGTATTTGCTTTTCTGACTAGGTCATTTATCTAGATTAGAACCTATAGTGGTTTGAATATCCTGCTTTGGGAGAGTATACACAGGTGTATGTATTTCACAGGTGACTGTTCTTATGTATGTTCTCAAATCATTGCCAACCAGGTATAGATTCTACCAATTTGCAAAAGTTACTTTTCATGAGACTTTAGCAGAAATGTGTTCGAACCTTCAGAACTGAATATCTGACACCAGTATAACTGAAATGTCCTAAAGCACTTAGGCACACTTTTGCCTCCTTAAATTACTGCCAAATGCTTTCTCTGAGATGCTGTTATAAGAGGGGACAAAAAAATGTGACCAAATGTGTGTTTAGTCTATCTGTTTCCTACAGTGGCTAGCCACATACTTCTCAGAAGTTACAAGCAAAGCATGAAATGAACATTCCTTCCCTGTAGTTCATCTCTTGCATCTAGTAGTCAAAGGTATAGTGTCCCTGAACATTCACCATTTAGCTATCAGGGTTCAATAAGAAACCTAAACCCAATCACCAAATTCCAAAATGGTGACTACCCAACACTAAACATCTAATTTTCATGGAAACCTTATATTAAGTTGCCCTGAAATTGCAGGGCTAATGGAAGCACACTCTGGCCTCTTTCAGTGGACACTGGAAACAGGAAGCTAATTCAGATTCCACTCAGCTGTTCTCTCTGTGAAATTGAGCAGTAGTGTGGTGGGGTACAGTTATATCTCCGTATACAGTACAAGTAATAATAACTCACTTCACAAGGTGAATCAGGATGAATATGGCAAGAAGTGTAAACAACTATGTCCAATTACAACAATCTGCAATTAACATGAAGTTTTCTACAAAATTACAAAAGAGAGTGATCTCTACTTACTACTACTACAGCTCAGGGCAGACATAATATTTAACCTTAGAACTATAGTGTATTGCCTTAAACCTATATAGTGTAAGCAGATGATCCTTTTGTTGGGGGGGGGGGAAGAACCTCAGATATGTATTGATTTTGACTGATTTAGGGGGACAACTGTCCCCCCCGCCCCCCTTGCCTGCATCCATGTTTGATAACCAATGCCCTGATCAAAACAGCCCTGATCAATCTCAGGCAACATAGAAAAATAAATAAAGAGCAAGGACAAGTACAGATATTCCTGACAGTTCTGCAACTTTTCAATAGACATCCTGATGAATCTTGTGGACCACCATAATTTTATCTTAAACCATGATTCTACAGACCCAGATATGAAGTGGAAGGTATTAAATTTGTATACGACCTATATGTCTAAGTTCTCTGGGTATGTTTCAGAGACATTCAAATATATAATTACAGTGAAAATCTAAATCTATAAAACACAAAAATACTGATAAAAACCACCACAACAAATGACTATCTAAAACCAGCAACATAACAACAGCTAAAACTGTTTTAAAAGCAGTATAAAACTGGGGAGGGGAAAACTTGGTGTAAATAGCATGCACCAGATATGTGTACTAATCAAAATCAAAATTAAAACTCTTTAGCTCTTTCAAATTCCACCCACCCACCCAACACACATACACCTTCAATTACAACAAGACTAAAACAAACAGAACCTGACACATCTTCTTCAGCAGACAGGAAATTCCTATGACACACTTTTAATCTATTGTTTTGTCCCTACTTTAGCCAACCTGTGTATGTTCTTTTAATAGTAAACAAGTGTTTTTAATGCTAGAATCTGAAATAGCTCAGTTGGTAGAGCATGAGATTCTTAATCTCAGTGTTATGGCTTTGAGCCCCATGCTGGGCAAAAGATTCCTGTGTTGCAGAGGGTTGGACTAGATGATCCTCATGGTCCCTTCCAACTCTACAATTTGATAACTCTATGAACATGCCATTTAGCTAGTCAGCAAAACCTAGCTGTGCCAGAGCTTTGAATGAGAACTAGATAAAAACTTTCAAAGTGGTAAGGATTTCTATAGGAGTACTTATCCAGAGCCATGTGTGCTCTTTGTTAACTAAAATGATTGTTCATGTGATTACGCACATGACTGTATAGTGCTTCAGAACTCATGATTGTTTGTACAAATGTCTCAGATGAAATGGGAGGGATCTCAGCATAGAACGGAATTCATGGAAATCTGCAATGGGCATGTGAAATGGATTTTCAACTTCTGCAAAAGTCAGCCTGTATGAATGTCAGGTAATCAACACATCAGTGCCACTCTGTGGCCAGGAAAACATAATTCAGTTCCTCAAAAACTTGCAAGAAAATGGTGGGAAGAAATTTTAGAAACATCCATAATCAAAGCATGTGTCCAACACTCATTTAATTCATTTAATGCATTTAATTCATCACATTATTCAATCTATACTTAGCAAAAATACATGTCTTTATCTCCTTCCAGGATTTACTAATCAACCCACATGCTATCTTAAGAATGTATTTGCCTTCCTTCTTGAGATCTGGCCTAGTTTACATTGTCTTGCTGTATCCCAGTTTGCAAACCATAATTTACAGAGTACCACAGTAGCTGCATCTGGCAAAATTATTGCAAGGATCTTAGCAAACTGTCTCCTAACTATATCCAAGGCTACCCTTCCTGAATCCCAAAATGGTTTTCGACCTAGGGGGACAGTGGACATGATTTTCACTGCTCGAATTCTTCAATAAGTTTGGTGGTGCTCTTCTTTATCCTGTTGATTTGTGAGCACCACCTTAGCCTCTAATCACTATTGAAGCAATTCCCTAGCTAAAAATGCTTTAAACAAAGCAAGAAAAGTACCTGGATACTCTGATTATTTTGGCATATGCAGGTAAATGCATTAGGACACAAAGCGAAATAAAGGATTTGGCCGAACTTCACTTTACTTTGCAGCCACGTTGGCTACAGAAAAATGCCCTTGAGCCAGCACTAATTATGTCAACAAGTAGTTCATGCTTAGCTCTTCTTTAGTCCTGTACTTGTTTACAGATTTTGTGTGTGTGTGTGTGTGTGTGTGTTAGAGAGAGAGAGAGAGAGAGAGAGAGAGATTGGGAAAGAGGCAGAACAGGACAACTGCTTGGCTTAAGGGTGTGCTAACCTTGCAACAACCTAGTGACATCATCATTTTTCACCTTAGATTCCTTCTCCTGGGGTATGCCTTCAAAGTGAGATGGAGGTGAAAAGGTTTCCCCTGCAGCAAGACAGGCTGCATGACAAATGGGCCAAAAAGTCAAAGAATTTTTTTAACCTAGCCTGGCTTTAGTGTACTCACTATTTGCACCTTTGAACAATATGATGAATGCTCAGGGGGCAAGGGAGGCTGTGCTTCAGGAGGAACCTTCACTTACTTCTTACACTTGCAGTTATTTGCAGGAATCAAAGGAAACATGTTAGTCTGTGTACAGATGATAATGATTATTCCACTGGATGTTTCAGTAGTTCTATTCTTCTTATTCCAACAGCTGTATTATTAATAGCACTATTACTTTGCACTTTTAAGATGTTTCACATACAGTAGTGGGGATGGGGGGGAATTCAATTCAATTTCCATTTAAAGACAAACCAATCCAATTTGTTCTCTTTGAAACAATACAGGAACTGAAACGTAGCCTTGCTTCAAAATCCTCACTTCTCTAACTTTTGCAGTGTTGTTCTCCAACCAAATAATGTTTACAAAAATGTGTGTACTTGGATAAAATGTAAACATAACACACAAACATGTATTACTTTATGGGAAATTCCTTTGCAAAAAAGTGTATGTTAGAGAAAATTGCATACAAACATGCATACAGTAGTAGCAGAAATTCACCTTAAAATACTGATGAATTTTCATGAGGACTATTTTTAAGTGAACTTATGCGGAAATGTAGAAAACTGACCTTAAAATTAGAAATATGAGAAACCAAACTTACATTAATTTTTGTTTTATTGAGAGTATTTCAATTGAACAAAATTAAGTGCTTAAAGAGGAAAACATCTATATCAAATAACTATATATACAAACAACTACAATTGCTTATTGAATAGTAGGTATATGTGTTATTATTATCCTAATACATAAATGGTTATTTATAACATACTATATTTTTTATGAGAAACCAAACTTTACAGATGTGCTCACCCTTGCTAATCCTGATGAGAGCTGTAGAAGCTAGACCACTATTATTATCCATATGTTGCAGATGTACATAGGCTGAGCAAATAGTTTCTTGCTTTAAGGCCCCCTAGTAAATCTGTGGCTCAACTGTGTTTGGTTTTTTGATGCTTGCATATTGTCTGTATCATTGTCATGTTTATGATGCCAGGTGCCAGAGAGTCAGAGGTGATATTGTGGATAGCTTGTTGGGATTTTTGAGTTTAGGCCAGGATGACCTCGGTTCATGTCTGGTGTGTTGAGCTTCATGGAGGAAAGGCAGGATTAAAATGTAAATAATACAGCTATGTTAAAAATAAATTGGGTTCCAATGTGGTGTTCCTGCTATCTTAAGTTCTCCTTTTGGTCTAATACCTCAGCTCATCTGTATGTCATTTTCTCAGTATGCTCCATGTGCTTTTCACCTATCAAAGCTCATGCAAAAGTAACTCAGAAGCAGCCCAATCTGTGTCTGTTTACTCAGAAGCAATTCCTACTAAGTTCAGTGTCCACAGGATTGCTGCATGAGAGTTGTATCCAGTATCACTCCTACTCAGAGTAGGCCCATTAAAATAGTGAATATGATTAACTTAAGTCTACTGTGGTACCTCTGGTTACGTACTTAATTCGTTCTGGAGGTCTGTTCTTAACCTAAAACCATTCTTAACCTGAGGTACCACTTTAGCTAATGGGGCCTCCCACTGCTGCCGTGCCACCGGCGCATGATTTCTGTTCTCATCCTGAGGTAAAGTTCTTAACCCGAGGTCCCACTTCCAGGTTAGCTGAGTCTGTAACCCGAAGTGTCTGTAACCCGAGATGTTTGTAACCCGAGGTACCACTGTATTAATTTCAGTGGGTCTACTCCAAGCATAGCTTAGTTGAATAGTATCCATAATCTCTAAAGTACAACGGCAAGATAGCTCAGTCAGTAGAACATGAGACTCTTAATCTCAGGACCGTGGGTTTGAGCCTCACATTGTGCAAATGATTCCTGCATTGCAGCGGTTAGACTGGAGGACCTTTGTGGTCTCTTCCAACTCTATGATTCTGCGATCCTAAGTTTTTTTGAGAAGTTATATTAGTCAGTGTAATGGTGGGTGGCATTTTATTTTTGATGGTGTAACAAAAGCCTTTATTAAAACAATTTGCCTTAGTGCAATTTTTCATATCCTGTTTAATTTTGTGCTCATAATATTGCTTTTAACCTTTACTCAGACATTAAAGGAGAGTCTGTTTGTACAAAGAAAAAGAATTAACATGGAAACTTTGAAAAATTGCTTTTCCCTTTGACTACAATTGTCCCCCTATCCTACACACATACACATAAGATGACCTCAAATTGAGTATATGCATGACATTATTCCTTGTTGGATCTTGCATGCTTAAAAATGAAACTTTGTTCTCCTTTAATGAAGTATATTTTAATGTACAAAACAAAAAAAACTGTCAACAAAATTGAAAACATACTATGGGATTCAGTTTTACTGATCTGGGAATAACCTTGGCATTTGGGTAGCACAGCAAAGGGTCCTGGTGTATGGTGAATTTTTATGTACATTGAGAATTATTTTGGGGAAGACAGAGTCATTTTAGGGAAACTGAACCATCTTTCTTATATTCTTCACAGTTTTTCACACTGAAGATTTATCAGAGTAACAGATAGTGGACCTTTCCAAAATCTAGACCAGTAAGACATCTTGAAATCTTCTACCTATACAAAGAGGAAGGGGTAGGAAGAAGCTGATGTAGCAAGTTGGCAGAAGGCACTTGGAAACTAGTTGGGGGCTGAAAAATTGTAATGAGTCCCTTGGAGATGAGTTGCAGAGCAGAGGGCAAGAGACTCTCTTGATAGATAGATGATAGATGTGTTTATTACATGGTTGTGTGGTTTAATATGTGACTCATCTTCTACATAGTAGGCATACCAGTAGAAAAATGCAAATATGTGCCTGGTATTTATTGCATTTAAAACATATAAGAAGACTTAATTTATCTGGCCTTTTGTATAATAAATTTCATTATAAACTGAAAATAGTTTATGCTGCTCTCTGTGTTGTCTTGTTTACTCTATTTTGTAAACACCCATGTATTGCCAACACAATGTTTTCTGCCTTGCTGCTTTCATGCCAACTTATAAGCATGTGGATATTCTCTGTCTCTTACAACTCATTTTCAGAATTTCTAAATTATAAGATTTTACATATCACTATATATATATATATATATATATATATATATATATATATATACACATAAGGAAACTGTAGAGAAATGGCACAATGTTGCAGAATGTTTTCTCCATTTTTACTATTTTATGCATGTATGCATGTATCAGTTTCCTCCTAATTCTTAACAGTAAATACCATCTTCTGCTTAAGTTGTCATTTCAGATTTCTGACTGTGGAATGTGATATTTCAGGGGCAAAAAAGATCTGTCATTAGAGTTTAAAGGTCTGTTCTTTAAGATTAAGTTGTGGTTGTGGTGGGGGAGTAGTGTCCTTCAAATGAAGTTGTGGTTACTTTTTTAAAGCTCAGATAAGCGCTTTCATATCATCATGTGGTTCAGAAATCTTAGCAATGTCTCATCACCACTTTTTTTTGGGGGGGGGGCTGTACAGTATAGTGAAAATTCAAGAATAAAGGGAGACAAGAATAACACATTTCATTAAAGGTGGTTATATACATTATTCCTCT